GCCCCACACCCCACGACACCCACCAGTGATCATCTTGACCGTGATTCCCGCCTTGTGGGCCACCTTGATAGCCTGCACGGCCTCGTCCCTCGGAGGATCCAAGATCGCCAGCATCATCACCAGATCGAGGAACTTGCCGCGCCCGAGGATATCGGCGGGGCTCAGGGACGTGAGGTCCTCGGACGGCGCCAGCTCAGTCCTGACGGAGGGTGCATGGCCGGGGTTTGGGGCAGGGCATGCCAGGCAGGGTGAGGTCATCTCGCGCAGGGCAGGGCACGGGTGGGGGGCGCCGGCGCGGGACAATGACGTCGCAGTGCGTGATGGAATTTGCCTGATGTCTTCAAGGCTACTAAGAGTGGGGCGCTGGTGCCTTGTAATCGAGGAAAGGCGCATCCCCAGGGGTTGCCCTGCCCCTGCAGCTGCAGCTGGCGCGCATAGGCATGTGCAGTCAAAGGGAGCTGATGCAGGAGGCCGCCCCCCCCCCCCAGAGGGCGTTTTGCTACTTGGCGTTGAGGGTTTGGGGTTGGAGCTTCAGACTCTAAACCCAGAACCCAAAGAAACGGGGGGGCACAGGCCCTATGCGTGCGCCCACCTGCACAGCGCGAGCACCCTCAGGCCCTGGTTGCTGAGATCTGCCTGCGCCTGCTGCCAGAGCCCGATGTCCAGGGGTGACGTCACGCTGACGTCATTGTCGGCGACCTGGGCGCGGCGTTGGTGGCGGTTCGGGTGTGCTATGTGGGGCGGGAGTCACCCCAGTGGGGGATCAGTGTGGGCCATGCCCCGATGGGCTGCGGCTGCGGTGGTGCAAGCTTTGGGAAACGCAACTTCCGACGGCACGCCCAAGCCGCGCCGCCAGCACTGGCGAGCGCGGCACTGCTGCGAGCAGCGCAGCGGCTCCCACGTCGCGTATTTGCTGGGCAGAGAGCGATCCGCCGCGCAGCGCGCGCCCTGAAAACCACACTGCAGTACATGCCGCTGCCTGTCACATCCACAACCATCCTTTTGCTGCCTGGGATGCGGGCTGCGGCGGCATCCCACGACACCCTTCTCCCCTCCCCCACGCCCACCTGCGCCCTGCAGAGCGGCAGCAGCCTGTCTGGCGCGCCCTTCACATACATGACACGCGCCCCGCCCTCGTTGTGGACTGTGGCCATGAACTTGTGCTCCGACTCAAAGGGCACCGAGGCCAGGCGGGGCTTTGAGGCCTTGAGGACGGACTGCTCCAGTCCGGCCTGGGTTTGGGTGGGGTCAGTGCGAGCGAGCGCGTGTTGAGGTGCGGAGGGGAGGTCGAGTGTGGATTGGCGTGAATGCGTGGGGATGGGGCTGAGGTGGCCGTGTGGTGGTGTGGTGGTGGCAATGGTGGTGTGAGTGTGATTCTTGGGGAGGGGAGGAGGTGCACAGGTTTCAAACGTGTTTCACTTCACCCGCTCACGACAAACTCACGCACCCAGCCGTCCCATCCCCTCCCGCCCCCCCACCCCCCACCTTCTCGCCGGCGGTCAGCAGCGCCACCTCTGTCGGCGCCCCCATCGGCGTGTACACGACGCTGCCGCCCCCCTCCTTCTCAGCCCTCGACAGGGCCGAATCGTTGCACAGCACCGCGCCCTCCAGCAGCGCCCGCAGCACCGCCATGCCCGCCGCGTCCAGCGGCGCGCCCGCCGCCGCCGCAGCCTCCTGCGCGGCCTCCTGCGCCGCGCCGGCGCCGCCGCCGCTCGGGGCACCCTCAATGACAACCTGCAAGTCCCCCTCCGTCGCCGGCGTGCCGCCAGGCGCCGCGGCCGCCGGCGCCCGCGAGCCGGGGCGCCCGACGGGGGCGGGGGTCGGGGAGAAAGCTAGGGTGAAGCTTCCGACGGGCGCGTAGCCGACGCCGCTTACCCTGTAGAGGCTGGCGGCGGTGCGGACGGCGACCACAGTCATCTCGTTGCGCGTGAGGGTGCCCGTCTTGTCGGAACAGATAACATTGACGCTGCCCAGGGTCTCGACGGCCGGCAGCTGTTGCGCGTTGTGACAGTGGGCGGGGTGGGGCGGGGTGGGGATAAGGGGGTGTTAACTTGCTCATGCTCATAACCACTCAGCACGTCCATGCGCATGCACCCCCGTAACGCAGCGTGCAAATGCACATACGCACACACACGCACACACACGCACACGTACGTGCGAGCGCGCACGCGTGCGCGCGCACACACACACACACACACACACACACACACAACTCAACACACACACACACACACTCGCACGCACACATAAAAATGCACACACACACACACACACGCAACTCAACATACCCAGACACACACACGCACAACGCAACACACCAGACACACACGTACACACGCGTTCACATGCTCGACACCTGCACATCCCGTGCACCCCAGCAGCCTCGCCAGCCCCCCCTCCCTCCCGAACCCCCCTACCCCACACCTGCCGGATGATGGCGTTGTTCCGGGCCATGACGGTCGTCCCAATCGCCAGCACAATCGTCACGATTGCCGGCAGGCCCTCGGGGATGATGGCCACTGAGATGCTGACAGCCGTCTCAAAGGCGCGCTGCAGGCCCTCGCCCGCGCGCAGCAGGGCCAGCAGGAAGGAGACCAGCGCCACCACGCCCACCAGTACGGCGAGCCACCTGCGGCGGGCGTTTTGGTCCGCGGTACATCAGTGGACAATCGGGCGGGTTCAGAGAGGCACACTCACATTGAGACACACACACACACACACACACACACACACACACACACACACACACACACACACACACACAACGCGCACACACACATACACACACACACACACACACGTGCGCGCGCATGCACACACACACACACACATACACATAATGCACAACACACAACAATCGATGCACAGCCAACGAGGCACATAGACATTAACAAGTGTCTATGGAGGACACGAGGGGGCACCCTGACAGCCTTCACAGTACGGGCGAATGAGATCCATCCATGCACATGGAGCGCACCGTCCAAAGATAGTCAGCTGGTGCGTCAGGTTGTTGTGGGCCTCCTCGACCTGCCAGCGGGTAAGAGGCACGCACAGGGGTTTGGCGTGGGCTTTGGCGCTTGTGGGCAAGGGCTTGCGAGCGCCGGCCTGATTCAGATGCTTTGCAGCTTTGGCTTCAAGGAGCTCCTGTCAAGCTCCCTGGCGCCTGTAAAGATATCGCCCCTACCTCTGCCCCACACCACACCACCCACCTACCCACCCATCCGCCCACCCACCCAGCCATCCAGCCACCCAACCACCCAGCCACCCGGCCACCCGGCCACCCGGCCGCCCACCGTGGACACCATCTTGTTGATCTGACCGATCTCTGCGCTGTCACCGGTGCCGACCACGACGCCCTCCGCTGTGCCAGACACCACGGTGGTCGCGCTGAACGCCAGGTTCCTGCAATCAAACGCAGAGCAGCGCGGGGCCGTGACAGGCGTCCATTAACGTTATGTTGTGGAACACTTGGTCGTTCTGGGTCTCTGGACCCCGGCCGGGGCTCGCGCCGGTGCTGGGGGCGTCGCGAAGGCTGGGGTGCGGGCGGGCGGCGCCCTCGCCGGGCGAGCGCATGCGCAAGCCGCGCATGGGCCTTGCCTTTGGACCGAGCATCGAGCAGCGTGCAGGGAGCAGCGCGGGGCGGGGCGGGCCCCGCTGAGCTGGCCCTCCTCACTTGCGGTCGCCGAGCGGGGCGCCGGCGGGCACTGGGTGCGTGATCTTGGAGGTCGGCACAGACTCGCCCGTCAGCATCGCCTCCTGGACCTGCGAGGGAGTGATGAGGTGATGCGACAGGATGCTTTGTTGGTGGCCAATGCGTGACAAGGATGTGAGGAAGAGGTTGGCCCGCGCAGCCCGCGAGTTCTGATGCTTTTGCGGGTCGCGGCCGCGCCCTGCGACCGGCGACGGCTGCTGTGGCGCGCGGGGCAGGCGCAGCCCTGTCCAATCCTTTCACCTTTATCCAGCCAGGTCCCAGCATATGACGCATCGGCCCCCGTGCACATGCACTCCCCCCGCTGCGCCTATGCGGCCCCACCCCCACCCCCCATCGCAGACCGCGATTATACCTGGAGGTTGCTTGCGCTGAGCAGCCGCAGGTCCGCCGGCACCTTGTCACCCGACTTGAGCGTCACTATGTCACCCGGCACCAGCTCCTCTGCAGGGATGGTCACCAGCTGGCCGTCCCGCAGGACCTTGGCGGTCGGGGACAGCATGGCTGCAGGCGCACGCGGCGGGAGAGGGGGAGCGGGGTTGTGGGCACGATGTAGGCGAGCTTGCCACCCACCACAATGACACGGGCAGCAGCTGCGTTCATGAGCACGGCACCCTGGCATGGTGCGCTCGTTTCGATATGCAACGCTCCCATCGCAGGCGGCTGCCGCGAACGAGCCGCCCCATCGTAAGCCGTGCGGCTGGCGTGCGGGCCCGCCGGCTGCCTGGCGGACGGCTCCTCGTGGCATGATGGGTTAAGCGGCTTGGCGGCCGGCGGCGGGGCCCACCTTTGATGGCGTCGGCTGCCTTCTCGGCGCGGCCCTCCTGGAACAGCCCTATGGCCGTGTTAATTACGATGACCGCCAGGACCAGCCCGCACTCGGCCCATGCCTGCGCGGCGCATTGCAGGGTTGGGGGCAGGGAAAGAGGGTTCGCGCTGCCCATAGCTGGCTGAGAGGCCGGCTGAGAGGCCGGCTGAGAGGCCAGCTGAGAGGCCGGCTGAGAGGCCAGTGTGGGCTGCCGGGCGCACGGGTTGCTGATATGGCGCCACTGCCGCGGGTGTCGAGCAGAGTGGGTCACGCGGCCGTGCGCGCACCTGGAATGCACCCTCTATAATGGCGGCCGCCAGAAGGATGTAGATGACAGTGCTGTTCAGCTGCGCCCAGAGCTTCGCGAGAAAGCCCTTGCGCTTCGCGGGCGTCAGCGCGTTGGCGCCAAACTCTTGTAGCCGGCGGGCGGCCTCCGGCGCGGCGAGGCCGTCCGTTGCCGATGTGGCCAGGTCATCGAGTACATCGGCCGCTTCGCAGGCGTGCCAGGGTTCCTCCCCTGATGCAATGACGCTGGCGTCACCAAAGCGCGACTGCTTGGCGATGCTGACAATGGAGGCCTTGTTCAGCGCTGCAGAGGTCTTCCCGAGGCCCCGCTTACTGGGGCGCTCGAGGCTCATAGCTGATCGCGCGGCAACTAGGACGTGAAAGTCTTGTGATCGTAGTGCTACTGGTTATGAGAGGTGTGCGTATCAGAGGTGTGATTGAAAGAAGAAAACAATGTAACTCAGGTAACCAATGCGCACTAAGACTTTTCAGCATCAGAAGCCACGGGCAACACTGGGAAGTTGTGCGTCATCACCACAGGCTAGTATAAACCGGTCAGAAAAAAAGCCAACTATGCGACATTTACTCTGCGTATACCTATCAGAACTTACTCGTGCCCGGGGCGCCCCTGCCGCAGCCCGCACATGGAGCATGCCCATCCCACATGTTTGCAGTTCCGGTACATGTGCCGTGCGTGCGTATGGCGCGCCCCACTGGAGCTTTGTGCCATACACCACCAAAGAACGGCGTCTCCCTAGTCCTTTACTTTTACACGCACAACCCCAGGCGTTGTCCGCCGGCCTGATGATGTCAGCACCGGGCCGTGCTCGGGCGGCACCGATGTGCGTCACCAGCATTGCACGCATCTGTGTGGCGGCCGGCCTGGTCATTTCAGCACAGAGCCGTGCATGGGCGGCACCAACATGTGACACCAGCATTGCACGCATTGGTACGGTGGCAGGCCTGATGTTAGCACCGGGCCGTGCACGAGTGACTCCGATATGCGTCACCTGTGTTGCACGCGATCGTAGGGTGGCCTGGGCATCACACGGTTGCAGGTGCAGCATAGAATCAAAAGCATTGAGGTTCTGGCTGCTCTCCAGCAAACGTGTCCTTGTGGCACAGCATGCACATAGGCTATGAACAGCCATGGTATCAGGGCCACGCACCCAGCTGCAGCAGTGCAAATCAGCCACCCACGCTTAGCCCCAACTAAATGTTGACGCTTAGCCTATATCCGCTGATGACATAGCATCATCTGCATCAAGGTGCCTGCATGGGCAACGTCTATTGGGGCCTCCCCTGGTGGAGTGCAGGCTTCGTGCACGTCTGCTGCCAAGTGCTATGCAGCAGTTTCTAGTGGGCCTGTCACAGCACCGTCCAAGCCTGCCGGTTGCGCAGCAAATCAGAAAATTCCATGAACACACTGGTACAATCCGACACACACCGTGACAATTTGTGTCTGAGAATCGACGATCTGCTGGATCTGAGCATTCGCGAGTCCGTCAACAGTAGTGTATTGTAATTGTGTCACCGTGAACAATGGGCGCTAGTGGCAGTAAGGTGGCGGCGCGCACGTACAAAGCGGCGGAATCCGGCGCAAAGCAAGCAGCAGCAGCGGCGCAGCGTGCCGCTGTGCCTGCAGGGGGTGCCCTGGCGCGTGACGGTGAGCGCCTCTCATGAACTTCACAAGTCCGATCGCAGCAAAATACACCCATACACATCCAAAGGCGCTTATGCAACAGCCATGCGCTTTCCGTCTGCGTCGCGCAGAGGCCGCAGCAGTGCAGCATGCGCCCGCACGCGGCGCCCGCTCGGCGATCTCCCTGGAAGAGGAGGAGCGGCTCGAGGCAAAGGACACGTCCCTAGACCAGCTGCTGTCCAAGTTGGGGGGGTCCATCACCGGCACGCGCGTCTTGATATCACCGCCGCCGGTGCGCGCGTCGCTGCGGGATGGGGCGCCGCACTGGTGGCAGGGGTGCGTCTTGATCACTCGGGGTGATTGAAGACGTCAGGCATTTCGCGATTGCCATGTGAAGGGGGGATCGTGACGTAGGTTGCCGTGCGTGGACACCGCAGCTCGTGGCGGCGATGGGGCAGCTGTTGTGCTTTGCAACAGCGCACCTGCCCCCACGTCGAACACGCAGCCAACAACACGCCTGGGCCCCGCGCCGCCGCCGCAGGAAGCGCTGCCCCGCGCGCCGCCAGCGCAAGAGCTGGGCGCGGACGGACGGCTGCCAACGGACGCGCTGCGCGCGCTTTTCGAGCTGCAGGCCGCGTCGCAGGGCGGCCCCGCCGACCCTGGTCATGAGATCTCGCAGTGAGCGGCGCGGGGGGGGGGGGGGCTGAGGCGGGCTCCCTTGCCTGGACCGGCTGATTCAATTACCTGGTGTGCTGCGCGCCGTAGGCATTGGATGCACCCTTTGCCCTCATCTGCCCCGGCGGCAAGCGGCCACTGCTATCAAGCCGCATGCAAGTCGTCCGAGTCGGCCACAATCAACTGCGCAACTCACCTACACCCCCCTCTTCCCGCACGCACGCCCAGGTACAACCCAGACCCGGAGCTCATGCGGCGCGTGCTGGCGCGCGCCTGCCTGCCGCAGACCATGGAGGCCGACGGCGCAGCCAACGTGCGGGTGTTCGCGCAGTGGCCGCCCTGGTTTAGGCGGCACCGCGGGTGACCGGCGGGCCGCGCCACCGGCCATCAGGCCAAACCCCCCGTGGTTTGGGGGCTCAACCCCTGGACCCCTCTGCGGCCGCCCCGCCCGCCCGCAAACCCTGCCCGGGCGGCCACGCCATCGCGCGAGGGCGGCCATCGCCCCTTGCGGCGCGGCCGCGGCCCCCCTGCGTAGGCCGCTGCGCGAGCCCGCGCCGCCGCCAGCTGCTGCTGATGCTCGTGACAGGGACTTCAGTGGCGCTCCTGCGCTCCTCTCACACGGTGTGCGCTCCGCTGTTGCGCTGCTGCCACTTGCACCGTCGCACGGCAGCAACCGTGATCACCCCGACTCCCATTCATGCCCATCCCCAATCTTTGCGTTTCGGCCCGCGTGATGCGCTGGCATGGCCGCAGCGCAGTTTGTTGGCAGCTCTCTTGCCGCTAACAAGGCCGTTCACCGGCACACAACGCATGCACACTCCAGATCAAACCGCCAGCTGAGCTGTCACTACGCTCAGACCAGATCCATGCCCCCTCAGGCACCGCCTCCATCCTTCCTGGCATTTTGCCATACCACAAGAGCCCGCCTGCTCGCCAGGGGTGTGTGTTTGGGCAGGGCCTGGGCAAATGCAGGCAGCCTTGCATGCACCCAGCATTGAGGTGCACGCGCGAAAAGCAAGGCAAAGCTACACATGTGTAACCCCGCCGCTCTCCACACCCGGTCCTGGGCTCTGCATGGCCAGCGCTTGCGACACCTGGCGGGGAAGGAAGGTGGAAGCGAGCGACGGGCGTCCCACACCGCAGAACGAATGCAGCCTGCAGTCGGCATTGTGGCAGTGAAAATTTCAACACCAACAGATGCTTGTCAATACCCTGACACCAGCAGCGCAGGGCAGGGCGCGCGGCCAGGTAGCACGGGCCGCGAGTTGGGGCCATCCCGAGCTGGCGCCACTTCTGATCTGCGCTCAGGCACGCGTTGGATCTGGCCATCCCGCTTGGAGGCAGCCCATGCAGCGACTGTGATATAATCTAACAGATATTCGTGCGGCTTTGCGGCTGCTGTCACCCGCGGATCGACCGCTATCACCATCGGCGAAGGGGAAGCTAGCAGCTCTGCCCCGGCTCCCCACCATCGTGCCCGTTCCTTTAGTTCACTGGATGCTGCACATACGTTTGTACAAGCCCAAATACTTTATCTCACGCAGCCCGCCGCACACCGCCGCGCTCCCACCCCAACCACCCCTTTGGCCCGAAGACACCCCCACACAGCAGCCATGAGGACCGCCCTTGTCGCCCTCTGCGTGCTGGCCCTGGCCAATGCGGTATGATTCCTGATCCCAATGGTTGAGCGGCCGGCGCGCCGTGTTCGGTGTTGGCCACCCAGCAGCTGACCCACCGTCGTGGTCGCTCTTTTCTCCGCGCAGGCCTTCGCTCAGAAGGCTACTTACGTTGCCGCCAACATCGTGCCTTCGTTTGACAGTGAGTAGCAGGCTCCTAGCCTAGGGTTGTGGAGGGCGGGCGGCCGGCAAGTGATCGCCACTGTCTCATTTGATGTTGGACCCAACAACCGCCTAGCCCGCCGCGCGCCCCTCATCCGTGTGCGCACCTCTGCTGCCCTCTCCTCCCACAGAGTGTCCCGTGAAGACCCCTGCTGTCTGGGACCCTAAGGTGTTCGACTCGTCCTGTGAGTGCGCTGTGGCAGCATGCGGGCGGCGGCGGCTGCTGGCCGCCTAACAACGCGTTCCCGCCGATGATCTGGCGGCGATCGCACAGGAGCCGTCCTGGCTCGCGGGCCCACCCCATGGCCGACACACCACGCCCACGTGGCTGCTTGTCGGCCCCACCCGCCGCCCGGCTGGCGCAGATCGCGATCGGCAAACCGCGACGTTGCACCCTCGCGATCGGCCCTGACCTCTGCGAACCACGCTCGAGATCCCCTTCCCCCCTCACCCCCTTCCGTGTGTGCGCCCCTCAGTGGACTCCCTGACCGCGCTGACCGAGTTCACCGACTCCCTGTCCAAGAAGTGCCAGGAGTCCCTGCTGAACCTGGCCAACTGCGCCAGCGACAACGACGCGTTCGCCAACCCCCCCTCCACCATCACCTCGCTCTCGACCTCCAACGGCTGCTGCCTGACTGACTGCTCCAACTCGATCAAGGAGGCGAGTGCCTGGATTGGCAGCAGGACCAGTGTGTGGACAGTCACATGCTCCGATGAGGCGGCTCATGTGCAGGGGGCGCATCAGGCAGGCCTGCGTTCAGTGCGCAGCCCAGGCTGCAGGCAGACAGCACCTGCACCGAGAGCGCCTCCCAGGGTGCTGCGTGCGCACCCAGAAGGGCGCAGAGCCCCCTTACTCCGGCTCTGTGGCGTTTTCTTCAAAGCCTGCGCCACGCCTCCCTTGTTCAATGACCGCAGACCATCAAGCTTGGCTGCTTCAACGACCTCCTCAAGGCGATCTGCGGCAACCCTAAGGCTGAGAAGTACCAGACCGGCCTGTGAGCACCGGTCACACTCAGATCACGATGTCAGCACGCAGCGCCGGGCGGGGGATACAGGCGCATGGCAGGGCCGGGCGCCGGGGCGGCGGCCGGGCTGCCGCACGCTGCGGGGTGGTGCCGCCTGCAGCAACCGCAGCAGGGCTCGAGCATTGCGGCAGCGAGGCGTTTATCGTGATGCTTGTCAGTCTCAAAAGAGGCCAGGTGCAGCTGGGTGTCACACAAGTTGTGCACAGCCCACTGCCAGCTTCCACATACGGCCCCCGCTCACTGTTGCCCTCATTCGGCACGCCTTGCCTCATCCAGGTTCAACGCCGGCGTCCGTTGCGCCAACTTTGACGCCGCCTGCCCCGCCGGCGGCGCGGCCGCCCCTGCAAAGAACGCGACCACCGCGAGCGGCGCGGCCAACGTCACCGCCGCTGCCAAGCCGGCCGCCGGCAACGGCACTGCCGCCACCAAGGACGCTGCGCCCGCACCGGCCGCCGCGTCCCCGGCCCCCGCCGCCAAGGCCGCTGCCCCTAAGAACAACGCGGGCACCGCCGCGGCCTCAGCGGCAGCCGTCATGGTCGGCGCCGCAGCCATTCTTGTGCTGTAGGCGCATTCCCAATGCGTTGATCTGAGCAGCAGCTGTATGGGCAGCGGCAAGGTTGTGCGCAAATGCACTGAGCCCACTCAACGTGGCGCCGCGCGAGCGCAGCGCACGCAGCGGCATGCTGCGGGCTCACGCCCGCGCGCCCGGCATGCAGCGCCTCGCGCGCCCCCCGGCCGCAGCCCCGGGCATTTTTGGCTTCGCTCCTGGGTTTTCCAGCAAGAATCTTACCGGATCGTAGATTCCAACTTCAAACTCCCTGCGGCTTTCCTTTGAAGGCTGCCATCTGCGCGCTTGGCATGGCTGGAGCGTTGCCGCCGCCGCTTCGTTTGCACCAATCGCGTGCGAGGCCCTCCTGCGTTAGCTTGGCGGCGGTAAACGTTCTGGTTCTTCAAATTTCTCATGCCCGACAGTCACTGACAGGTGCCAGGCCGGTAAGCATGTGTGGGGCCCTGGCAAACCTAGCGATCATGCAGGGGCAACCTCGTGGGCGGAAAGCAGGTTCACCCAAACAGTTGTGAAGGCACTGTGGGCAGGGGGAAGGCACGACGCACCAGAATTCGGGGTATTGCAAAAGGAGTGGGGTGGTTTTGCTGACACCAATGTCTGTCAATGCTCAGGGGTCCTGTCTACTGCTACAGACATAGTCGGTGTCATGGTGTCCCTGCTTGACCAGCACGCAATTGATTGAAGTTGACTCGTTGACAAAACTAGTTTCTTGTGGCTGTAGAACCTGTCAGATGTTCAAATACATCTTAATTCTGACCATGATCATGCACTTATGCATCACCCATGGTTAATTCAGGTTGCCTGGGTGCAGTATGGTAGCCTTGACCACTTGCGCAGCAGCCATTAGGAAGGTTCAGCAGTGGCCTGGCCTGCAGCGGCCTGCCCCTGTGCATTACTGAGCCGTGCACGCCAGCGATCCATGTATGATAAGTTCAAATCAGTCAAGCAAATCCACATTGTTCCCTTCTTTGCACAGCATCGGATCGGGTCACCAGATCAGCAACGATGTTAGGGCAGGTGGTCACAAGCAAACCCGCAGCTATGATTGAATCACGATGTGATGCGCTCAAGGGGCCAGCACGGCTTCGATCGGGGGCTCTCGCTAAGTTGCCGCCCTGGTCGCGCGGCCCGCTGTTTGCGATGAGCGTCGTTGCGATGCGTAGCAGCAACAGGGATCTTTCGGGCCAGCTGGACGAGGCGCGCGAAGTAAGCCTTGCTCGCACTGCGGTGCCCTCCACTGCCCTGCTCGTGCTGCGTGCTGCATGCAGGGTCTGGGCAAGGGTGTCGTCGCGCGTCGCCGCGTTGTGCAACCAGCTTGCTTTACTGCTTTGGCACCCGGCATGCCAATCATCACAGACCCTTTCGAAGGTGGTGGAGCTTGTCAGCTCAGTGCAGCGCGCACAGGCCGCGCCGCCTGCCGACCCCAACACCGTCAGGTAAAATCGCAAGCCCATCACCGGGGGCCTGGACCTTTCACGTTGCGCTTCATCAGCTTTCTCGCCGGATTAAACCAGTCCGCCGCAACTGATGCTCTTGTGCCGACGCGCATCCGCACACCGCTGGTATCTCGCAGCAGCAGCCGAGCGCACGAAGTGTTCACCCCCCCGCCTTGCCTCTGTCCTCCCTCCTGGACAACCCATTTGGATCTCCGCAGGGAGCAGCAGCTGTGGGACAGGCAGAACGCCATGTACGAAAGAATGCTGCAGCAGTGGGATGCGGAGCGGCAGGTGCAAAGAGGGCTCGCTCATTCAAATGGGCCGTGAGCCGCCTACGGCCACGGCGCCGGGTTGGGCTGGTTTCTCATGTCTTTGCGGGGGGGGGGGGGAGAGGAGTGGGCCACAACACCGCCCGCAAGCGGAGAAGCGCGCGGCAGCAGGCGTATGGGTGTCTCTGTGGCGCACGCCAAGTGAGGAATGGCGCCTTTCGGGCCTCGCACCGGCCGTGGGAGTTGTGGTGCTGCGCGAGGCCTTCATCCCAGCTGAAATTCGCCCGCGCGCACTAACCCGCTGCATTTGGTGCTGCACGCTCCTCCGCAGACCTGGCAGCAGCGCGAGGCCGCCCTGCTGCAGCAAGTGGAGGGCCTGCAGTCGCAGTTGCTGCACTTGATGTGGCAGCAGCAGCAACAGCAGCAACAGCAGCAACAACAGCAGCAACAGCAGCAGCACCATCACCAGCAGCAGCAGCAGCGGGGCAGCGCGAGCCTGCCGTCGAGCGCGCCGGCGACAGCCCTGCCCGCACCCTCCGCAGGTGTGCTTGCAACCACGTGATGCGCAACGTCTGCTCTCCTCCTCCAACACTCAGGCTGTGTGCGATGTGGGCAATGTGCTGGGCGCATGCTCGTTGCCACAGCAACACCCATTCTCATCCCCTGCTCCTCCACACACCCATCCCACCTCTCCAGAGTCCTCCCGGGAAGCAAGAGGCGCCGCCAGCCTCAGCCCTGCCCTTGCCAGTCCTGCACTGGAGTCAGAGCTCACCTCAACTTCGGCCTCCCCGCAGCCGCCGGGCGTGCCCTCCTGGGCGGAGCTCTTCACGCCGCCCCCTGCCTCCGTTTCTGATGGTGTTGGCAGCGACGAAAGCAGCACGGCCAGCAGCCCCGCGGCGGCGCCCGCTACCCAGCAGCAGCGGCAGCAGCCGCAGCAGCCGCAGCAGCAGGGGGTCCCGAAGTTTGCGCAGGAGATCGCCGCGGCGATCCGGCTGGTGGAGACGGGGGACGTCTTGGTGCAGGAGGTCGACCTGGTGGCCCTCGCGGAGCGCCGCCGCGCCAGCGAGCAGCGCAACGCCGCCGCCACCGCCGCCGCCACCGCCGCCGCGGCCGCCCCCGTCCCCACGCCCGCGCCTGCAGTCGCAGCCGCGCAGGCGCCCGCGCCGCCGCCGGCCGCCGGCCCGGCGCCCGAGCCGGCGGCAGCAGCGGGGATTGCCGAGGTGCCCGCTGGGCCGCCGCCGACACTGGCGGTGGGCGACGACGACATTTACTGGGTGGCGAAGCTGCACGCCGCGCTGGACGCGGCGGGCTGCTACCCTCCGGATGAGGAGGCGGAGGACTTCTTGTTTGGCGAGGGCACGCAGGCGGCGCTCCTGACTTTCCAGGCCTGCAACGGCCTGGCCCAGACGGGTGCGTGAGGCCTTTGCGGCGGGTGCCATAAGCCGGGAGATAGAGGGCCTGAGGCAGGCGGTCTGCCGGCGTTCCTGCTCGCAGCCTGCTTGCAGGCAGAGGCTGTCCTCAAGCCTTCTGAATGGTCGCTCGCCTGCGCTTCGCATTTGTGTCGGCCCTGCTTTCCGGACAACCTTTGATGCCGCAGTGTGCACACGCCTGCAAACGCGCCCTTGCGCGTGTACATGCCCGCGCGCGCGCGCACACACACACACACACACACACACACACACACACACACACGCACGCACACACGCACGCATACGCACACACACACACACACGCGCGCGCGTGCGGGCACAATCCCCCAAAATCCATACCGACACTCTTGACTTAGGCATGGCGAGCGAGGAGACCTGGCGAAAGCTGCTTGGTGATGCATACGCCGCCACAGCGAGCCCCTCCTCGACCAGCAGCAACAGCAGCAGCAGCAGCGCCAGCGCCAGCAATGGCGGCGCATCCCCTCCAACCAGCACCTCCCAGCAGCAGCAGCCGAGCGCCTTCGACCCCAGCGAAGAGCCGCGCGTCGCGTGGCCGGTCGTGATGGACATGGACGGCGGCAGGGAGGTGCACGCGCTGCACATACTGCTGCAGAAGCAGGGCTTCTACTGCGGGGAGGACGACATGCGGTGGTGGATGTTTGGGGAGTCCACGATGGCAGCACTGAGGACGTACCAGGTGATCGGCGTCGATGGGGGGTGGGGCGCTTGGGGGATCACAGGGCTCAGGCCGCTTCAAGAACTGTTGGGGGATGTGTGTGGGATGTTTGCGGGGAGGAGGCAGCGCCTCAAAGCACCCGCGGCAGGCCACGTGGCACGGCGAGCGGCCCTCCCTCAGTCCGCTTTCCGGGAACGCAGCGACCTCAGCGGTTTTACCCCCTCTGTATCTCCCCTGACTTTTCGCCCTCACTGCGGACCCCTCCCCACTTTTGTTCCCCCAAAGTCGTCGGCCGGCCTGCCCGAGAGCGGCGTCTGCGACGAGCGCACGTGGCGCGCGCTGCTGGGGCCGGACGCGGCGCCCTCCGTGATCGACGCGCTGCGCGGGGACGACTCCGAGTTCGAGAACGATCTGGAGGCAGCGCCGGGGGAGGGCGCGGTGTGGCTGCTGGGGGAGCAGCGCTGGTCGCGGCCGGTTTGATGGGGGGTGCGAGGCGCGCCGCGCGGTGCGGGCGCTGCCAGGGGCGCGCAGCGCCGGCTTGCGTGGGGAGATGCGGAGCAGCATTCCAGCCAGGCTCTGGTGATACTTGGCAACTGATTTTCAGTGAGGCACAGTTCAACTCGTAATCCCACTCCTTGGAAGTGTGTTGTTGATCGCCGCAGCGACAGTGCAGCTTGATGCAGCATTACAGCGGCAGATGCTTGGTCTGGGCTGAAGTCTGCTTGTTGTGACAAACAACAGTGCACTCAGCAACTTGGCGACTTGGTGCTGCATAGAGCCATGTAGAGGGCTCCCACGCCACCTGCTGTCCCCCTCACCCCGCCGCACCAGCCGCGGCCGCCCCGCCGCCCGCCGCCGCCGCCCCTGCGCCGCCCTTCTTCGCTGCCGCCGCCACGAGCGGCTCGTACCACTCGGGCGTGAACCCCGCGCGGGCGCGCGCCTCGGCGTTGAACGGGCCCTTGAGGTTGCCGTAATGCTGCAGCACCAGGCAGTGGAACCACGCCTCTGGGGATTCGAACGAAAGCGCCTCGCGCGCCCAGGCAGGCATTGAGCTCGGCTCCACCCCCTCCTGCCGCACCTGCTGCTGCTGCTGCTGCTGCTGCTGCTGCTGCTGCTGCAGCTGCTGCTGGTGCTGCTGCTGCTGCTGCACCTGCTGCTGCTCCACCTGCTCCTGCTGCTGGTGCTGCTGCTGCTGGTGCTGCTGCTGCTCCACCTGCTGCTCCACCTGCTGCTGCTGCACCTGCTCCTGCTCCAGCTGCTGCTGCTGCCCTTGCTGCATCTGCTGTGCCTGCAAGGGCAAGGGCGGAGGCTTGGTGCCGTCTGCCTGCGCCACAGGTTGCTGATGCTGCCCCTTCATCTGCCGCAGAACCATCCGCTGCAGCCGCGCCCTCGCATCCCCCTCAGCCTCCACCTGGGGCGCCGGCGCCGTTGCCGCCGCCACCGCTGCCCCCGCCCCAGCCCCAGCCGCCGCCTCAGCCGCCCCATCTGCCGACCCGTCGGGCCCGCCGCAGCTAGCATGTGCGGTGCGCTGGCGTCCGTGCAGCCGCCGCGCCTCCGCATGCAGGTGCTTCAGCCACCGCACGCCGGCTGCGCAGTGGCCGACCTCCTCGGGGTACACCACCTGCAAAGGGCAGGGGGCGGCGCGGCGAGTCGGGTTTTGAGCACAGACAGCTTCGCCCTAGCGCACAGATGACGTGCGCATGTGCACATGAGCGCTTGCGTGCGGCACCAAGCAAGGGGGCTTTGTCCGCTCCCTTGCGCTCACCCGCACCCGCCACACACGGTCCCTCAAGCACGCACCAGCGCAAGCAAAATGTGCCAGCACTCCATGGAGTGATGGGCCAAGCAGGGAGGTTCAAATTTCGATCATCGTCTTGATGTCACATGCGCGCGCGCATCCTGCCCACCTCTTCAAGCAATGCTGCCGTCTCGCCGTCCCCGCCGCCCCTGAATTTAGCGATCGTGGAGGGCAGCACGTCCAGGCCGCGCGCCTCATGGCAGCAGTGCTCGACAGCCAGGCGCGCGGGCAGCGAGTGCGCCGTCGCTGCGGCGGCGTCCCAGAGCCTGCAGAGGGTGCGGGATGTAGGGTTTGGAGTTTCGGGTCGCTGTTGAGGAGTGGTGACAAAAGAGTAACGTCCGAAGGGGCTGGAGCGTGCCGTCTGTCAGTTCAGCAACCTTGGCAACAACGCAGATGGCGACGGCAGAAATGGCACCGGGGGGCATGGCAATGTCGATGGCGGGCAGATCAGTGGGATGCATGGGCAATGGAAGGCGGAGCAACGGAACACATAGGCAATGACAGGCATAGCAATGACAGGCAGCAGCCGACAGCAGGCAGAACGCGACGCAGCTCGTGCAAAGCCCTCCACATTCGCCGCTTGGCAACGCCCTCACCCGTCGTGCGCAGGGAATGCACCGTAGCGCGAGCCCGTGCCGCGTAGTCGCGCCTCCAGCAGCGTGAAGTGGCGCGCCTCGTCCTGGCGGTTGCGGGCGTCATGAGCGGGGCATCAGCAGGGCTGGTGCAGCAGGCGTCTTGATGGCAAGCACCCCTGAGCAGGTCAATGCCAGGGGCAGCATCGTCCGGCAGCCGCACCCATAGACGCAAGATTGCACTTGCACATGCATGGCCGCAGGCCGTTGCACATGCGAGCGCACACGCACGCACGCCCGTGCGGTGTGTACGGCCACGTATGGCCGTATGCACGTGCACGCGCACAAACACACACACATACACACGCACATACTTATGCTCACACACACACGCACACACACACACACACATACACGCCCGCGCGCGCATGGACGCACGCACGCCCGCGCACACACGAGCGCATTCGAGGAATCTGATCCCTCGTGATCTGGGCGCCCAACAGATTCGCGCACCTCTGCCACCGCCACAAAGTCGTCGTAAAACTGCCGCGGCAGGGCCCCCACCAAAGTGGGGTCCGTGCCCCAGCGCGCCACTACGTCCCAAGCAAGATCCACCGCCCTGCGGCAGGAAGTGGGAGCCTCTTTTGTCAGGCCGCGCGCGGCTCCCGGGCGCAGCCGCTTGCCCGCCGTGCGGCTGCCTGGCGCGGCCTGCAGCGCAGCACGGCACGCTCGTCTCCTCACCAGTTTTCAATGTGCACCAGGTTGTGCAGCAGGGCCTGCCTGTTGCTCAGCCGCGGGGCCTTCGTCCGGTCTGTTATGATCTGCACAATGCCCTCGGCCCGCGCGGGCCGCGCGGGCACGCACGCAGCGGCCGCCGCCAGGCTGGAGCCAGTGAGAGGCGCGACGCGCTCCACGGCGCCAGAGCGCCACAGCGCCGCGGCGTTTGCCGTAAGGGCGGCCTTCCTCCAGGGGTCTGGGCAGTGGGAAGGCGGGTTGCCGCCGTACGTTCATCGTTGGCTACCGTCAAATGTCACATCCAGGCAGAATGTGACCTCCACACATCAAGCAGACTGATCGCACTGCCTGATTGCAGCGCCGCGACAGGCAGGGCGACGCCACTCAAAGCTAGGTGTATGCCCGCATGTGCTTTGCCTGCTTTGTGAGAAGGCCCCATCTGGTCACAAGCCACACCTGGCTCGTTCAGGACATCTAGGGCAAGGTCGATCAGAGTCGCGTTCAAGTGACCGGCGGCTGAAGCTCCAGTCGCAACGCAATCAGATGCGCCGGCGCAGGTCGTCATGCTCATGCTGCAGCTGCCCTCAGCTAGAGACACTATGCTGGTTTATTGCCCGATATTCTATTTATGGTTCTCACGGTTATGTATAGTACCACACACCCTGTGACATTACAGTACCTGCAGTGCTGGTTGCTGTAGATCTGTGATATACTGCCTGCCTAGTGACTTTATAATAGTGTTCAGATTAAGAATGTCTGGAATGTGATTCCCAACGCAGTTGCGCATGCAAAAGGGCGGGCTCTCCCAGACCGCAGGCAACTGAACGCGGCACCCATGAAGGACCTGAAGGAACTTTTCGGCCGGAAGAGCTCGCCTACTAGGAAGGGATCTAGCCCCACCAGGATGGACAGCCCCAGCCGGCAGCAAGGACGCCCGATGGGCGTCCAGGGCATGCTGCAACAAGCGCAAGCGCTGCTGCAGCAGCTGCGGATCTTGCAGCCGGGCGACGCAGAGGCCTTTCCAATGATCAATGAAAGCACCCGCCTCAGTGAGTTGCAAGGGCGCGGCGCTGCTGCCGACTGGCTGGTACCATCGCATTTTGCCAAGCAACGACCCATGCGCTGTGTATTCTTCTCCATGTGTGAAAGCTGACCCACCATGTGCCACACGCGTGCCCCCACCAGTGCAACAGCTGGAGGTGGAGACCGCGCAGATGCCCCTGCCTGAGAGGACAGTCTGGTACATGTGAGCACGCGCGCGTACAGTCCGCGCATGCAGGTCACCACATGCCTGCACACAATTGCAGCGGCATGCAGCCACATGCAACCTTACCGCCGCCCCATGCACCGATGCCCGGCCCATGCACGCCCCATGCGCGGATTTCGACCCAGCCATGCCGCCCATTGCGCACACGCCCGCCCGGCCGCCGCAGGCAGCTGCAGGAGATGCAGGCCGACCTTCAGGGGCTCACGCAGCGCATTTTGGCGTCTGCGAACATATCGGACGACGCCGCGGCGGCCAACGGCAGAGGTGTGCCGGCGGGCGCGGCCGGCGCGACGGTTGCGGGGCGGGGCTGGGCGTCGGTAGTGACGGGGGCGGCTGTGCGCGTTGCATGCAGGGGCGGGCGTGTGACTGATGCGTTGCTGTCCTCATAGCGCGCACCGTGCTGACCGTGCGATCAGGGTCACCGGAGCCCGCTGCGGCAGCGCCCCTCAGTGCGCCCGCGGATGACGACCTCTTCAGCGGCCTCAGCCTCGCCACGGACACACACACCTTCGGCGGGCTCGGCGGCGGCGACGATTTTGGTGGGCCCAGCGGCAGCAGCGGCAGCAGGAGCGCGGCACCGGTGGCCGCTCAAGCAGCGGCGGCACCCGCTGCAGGCTTTTTGCAGCGAGGCCCCTCCGGCGGCCTCATGCCGCGCTGGGGCCCGCCGCCAGCGGCCCCCCAGCCGGCCCTGCAGCAGCCGCGCGCAGGGCAGCAGCAGAGCGCCGCGCCGGCGGCGGCACCGCGTTCGCAGCAGCAGCCGCAGCTTCAGCAGCAGGCGGCGCCGCCGCCGCGGGCCTCACAGCATGCGTCGGCGCCACATCAGCAGCCCAGGGTCCTCTCTGCGGGGCTGGGCTCCTTCTTCGCGGCCCTGGCTGACCAGCCGGACCCTCCGACGCAGCAGCCGGAACCAACGCCTCCACCTTCCTTGCAGCAGCAGCAGCAGCAGCAGCAGCAGCAGCAGCAGCAGCAGCAGCAGCAGCAGCAGCAGCAGCAGCCTGCGGCTCCTCAGCCGCGCCAGGTGACGCCACTGCAGCAGCAGCAGGCGGAAGCCGTCACCACCCTGCAGCTGCAGCAGGATCAGCCACGGCAGCCGCAGCCGCACCTGCCCGTGCCGGGCCCCAGCGCGTCGGCGCCCCTCGGCGGGGAAGTTGCCTCTCAGCCTGCAGCGGCGCCCGCCGCGGGGCCAGACCACAATCTGGTCAATACGCAAGGCGTTGGGGCGGCAGCAGGGGCCCGCGACGCGCCTGAGCCGCAGCTGGGCGCCTTGGGCGGCCCGGGCGGGGCAGCGAGCTCGGGTGGGGTCGGGCCCTTGGATGAGTCTTTGTTCTGCTTGATGGGCCTGGATGTCAGTGGAGGGGCGTCCACCAGCAGCGCGGTGCAGCAGCAGCAGCAGCAGCCGCAGCAGCAGCAGCAGCAGCATGATCGGGAGCTACCGCAGGGGGAGCAGCAGCAGCAGCAGCAGCAGCAGGAGCAGCAGCAGCAGCAGCAGCAGCAGCAGCAGCAGCAGCAGCAGCAGCAGCAGCAGCAGCAGCAGCAGCAGCACGGCGGCGCGTTAGGGGGTGCGCCGGATGTCCCACAGGCGGCAGCTGCGCAGCAGGCGCCACCACACCAACACCGCCAGCCGGGCGTCCCGACCATGGTAGGCGGCGGCGCCGCTGCCGGCGGCGGCGCGGCGGTGGCGGCAGCCTCTTCGACGGTGGCCGCGGTTGAGAGCGCGCGTGCGGCGGGGCCGGTGGCCGTGCTGCGGCAGGGAGCTGGGGCCGACGCGCAGGGGGCGGCCCTCGGGCCCATGGGCGGCGTAGCCGTCGGGAGCGGCGGCGCAGCAGCTGCGGCGGCGCCGCTGCCAGTGGACCGTCAATTACAGCAGGCGCCCTCCAGCGGCAGCAGCAGCGGCGGTGGCGGTGGCGGCGGCGGCAGCAGCGGCGGCGCAGGGCCTTCTACATTGGGGACTGCGCCTGGCCCCAGCCAGCAGCACGCACTTGCGCTGGCGAGCGCTTCCAGCGGCGTGAGCAGCGGCGCAGAGATCGCCGGGCCCAGCAGCGGCTTTGGCGCGTCGGCAGCCGCGGCCGCGGCCGGCTTTGCGGCTGGGCGGCTCGGCAGCGGCTCGTTTGGCAGCAGCGGCAGCGGGGGCGGCGGCGGGCTGTCGGGGGCGCGGAAGAAGAAGACAACCACGATGCGCGTCGGATACGGCAAGAGCGACGACGTCGAGCTGGGGCCAGACATTGCGGCTGCCATCAGCCAGCATCAGGCTGCTGCCTTGCACCACCATCACAGCGGCGGTGGTGGCGGGAGCAGCGTCGGGAGCGTCAGCGGCGCTGGGGCGTCCACGCGGCCTTCGATGGACGGGCTCGTGGGGTCCGGCTCCGCTGCCCTGCCAGAAGATGTATTTGGGCCGCCGGCTGCTGCGCAAGCTTCGTCGGAGGGGGCCCGCGCGGCGGCGACGCCTGCTATCGACGAACACCTGCTGCCTCCCTCCGCCGACGGAGCGCCTGCAGCTGCGGCGGGGCTGCCTGGAGCCGCAGCGGCGGCGCCGCCCAGCGTCAAGCTTGAGGCGAGGACGCCGCTGGTGACTGCAGCGGACTTGACTGCAGACGGCCTGCGGCGGCGCCTCTCCGCGCTGCGGGGCCCTGCGCTGGAGCGCGCCCGTGCAGCGGTCGAGCTGCAGGCGGCGGCAGCAGAGGCCCTTGCGGCCCAGGAGGCGGCCGCGGCGGCAGCTGAGCGGAGGGTAGCCGCGCGGCGGCGGCGGCTGCTCGTGGAGAAGCTGCCCGCGGCGGCCGCAGAGCTGGCGGAAGCTGAGCGGAAGCTGGCGGCGGCGGTCGAGGCGGAGGCCTTCGAATCCGCCGCTGCGCTGGACGCAGCTGCCGCGGCGGCGGCCGCCACGCGCGCGGGCGCGGAGGCGGCCCTGCGCTCCGCTGAGGCCGAGGCTGCGGCCGCGGCGCTCGAGCGGCGGCGGCTGGCTGCACTGCGTGGGCCGCTGCTGGCGGCGGCGGCAGAATACCTGTCAGATGCGGCAGAGGCGCGGGCGCGGGAAGGCGAGGAGGCGGCGGAGGAGGGCGGGGAGGCACTGGCGTGCGCGGAGGGGTCGGAGGCTGCGGCGGCGGCGGCGATCGCCGGGCATCAAGCAAAGGTGCGACGTGTGGTGCGGGTGACGAACTGTAGAAGCCCTAGGGTTGGTGAGCAAAACCTAACCACCCCCGCCAGCACAGGAGAGTAGAGGCCCAGAGCCTGCATCAACGTGCCAGCCGGGGCGTCCCAATATCAAAAGGCGTGCTGCTGCTCAGCTGATCCAACCCACATGCCCGGCTTCCCGCCTGCGCTGCCGCCGCCGCGGCGCCCGCAGGTGGAAGGTCTGCGGGCGGCGCTGGGCGAGCGCCGCGCTGAGCTGGCGGCGGACGTCGCCGAGGCGGCGGCGCCGGCCGAGGCGTCGCGCGCGGCGCTGCAGGAGCGGCGCGACGCGCTGGCGGTGCGCAAATGGGCTGCCACGCTCCTCGCAGCCTGCCCTGATTGCTGTCACGGCTGCGCCTCGCCTCTCTCACACACAAACGCAATTCCTCTCTTTGCCACTTGGGCAGGCGCGTCCGCCCTTCCAGGCTTGTGCCTTGGCAGTGGGCTCCACCCTCCTTCCCGCCACACACCCTGCTGTCCCACGCCCACGCCCTGCCGCCGCTGCCGACGTCCGCCTTTTTCTATTGCAAACCCGCAGTCCGAGGTCGAGCAGCTGAGGGCGGCGCTAGCTGCCAAGGAGCGCGAGCTGACCGGGGCGTCGGAAGCTCTGGAGCTGGCGTGTGCGCAGGTGTGGCCGCCATTCAAATGCCACCGACAGCTGGCCCGCGGCTGGCGCTGACGGCCCTGTAGGGACGCGCGCTCTTGCCCGGTCCCCCACAGCCCAGTTGAGTGTCAGCTGCCAGTGTGTCGATACCTGGAAGCACGTCTAGATTTGAGGCAAACACACACAGCACGCCTGCCTTGCGCATGGCACCTCCCGCGCTGCCCTCGCAGGTGGCGTCGGCCACGGCGCAGTTCAACGGCCGCCGCGCCGGCCTGGAAGCCGACGCGCAGCTGCTCGAGGCCGAGGAGCGCGCCCTTTTGGAGGCGGAGGCGGCGGCGGGCGCCGCGCGGGAGGCGGCGGAGGCGGCGAGGAGGGCGGCGGGGGAGCGGGAGCAGGGCGCGAGGAAGGAGGTGCGGGCTGTGCTATCAAAGCGCTGGTTGGGGAACGGCGGTGGCGCAGCGCAGCCCGTGTATCCAGGGCGGGTCCCCACTTTGTGACAAGCGTGGAGGGTGTTATTCGACATTGCATCACGCCTGTGCACGGCTTGTGACCTCCTTCTACCGAAGGCCGCTCCCGTCCCGCTGGAGCCGACCACGGCGCGGCGGCAGGGCCTCTCAGCCGCCTCCAGCCCCGAGCCCGGTCCCGCGGCCGCCCCTGCCGCCGCTCCATGGCGACACCTGATTGCCGCTACGCCTACCCCGAGCAGGAGGAGGAGATCCGTCGGTGGGCCGCAGGGCGCTCTGCCGCCGCCGCCGCTGCATCCTCCGCCGCCGCCGCCGAGGGCGCGGCCGCCGAGCTGCTTGCCTCCCTTGCGGCGGCCGAGGCGGCAGCTGCCGAGAAGGTGGGCGACCTGCGGGCGTGCCTCAACGAGGTGGCGGCCCAGCAGGCGGACGCGGCCCGGAGGGCGGCCGAGAGGCGGGCGCGCAGGGCCGAGGCAGAGGAGCGGGCGGCGGCAGCTGCCGCGAAGCTGCCCGAGGTGGAGGCGCAGAAGAAGGCGGCGGCCGCGGCCAAGGTGCAGGGCTGGGGGGTGGGCGGGACGAGCTGGGGGTATTCGGGGGCTTCCCTTTGTCATATGGCACTGGTTATGTCTTGCAAGCTCCCTGAGCACTGCAGTGCCCCCTGGCCAGCACTGAGCCGGGAACCTTCACGCACGGCCCCAGACGGCGCTCAGCAGGCTTGCCGCAGGAGGCCCCTTCAAGCAGCCGCGAGCTGCCCTCGCAGGGCCCCGCGCCGACCCCGCGCCCTTTGCCACGTCGCGGTGTACCCGAGCAGCTTGTCATGCCGCACCTCACAGCATAAGAAAGGTGATACCTGTTCACACGTGCATCACCTTGCTCTACCATAAAACATAGGACTTCAAGGAGGCGGCGCGGCTGTCAGCAGAGGCCAAGGCGCTGGCGGCCGCGGCCGAGGCGGCGGCAGAGGACGCGCGCGCGCTCGGCGCGGCGCTGGCGGCGGCGGCGGGCGAGGAGGCCGGGCTGGAGGAGCAGGTGGCGGAGCTGCGGGGCGCTCTGCAGGTGGGCGGGGCGCGCTGAGGGGCGCTGATGCCGGCCCGCTGCTGACGCGGGCGCTCCTCGCCCAACGAGATGCTTGTGTTTCGCATTCCGTTGATCTTGGGCATGCGCTTGCCAGGAAATTTGTCGTTGCAAGTGCTTGCTGGCGCTTGCTGCAGCACGGCAGCTCTCAACGCCACACCCGTTTGTGCCACGCCCCGGCCCGCAGGAGCTGGAGAGGGAGGAGGGCGTCGCGCGCTGGCGGCGGCTCGCGGCCAGCCAGGCGCTCCGCAACAGGCAGCTCGCAGAGGCGGCGGCCGCGGCGGCGGCGGCGGCGGCGACGCCTGGCGGCGGCAGGGGTGGCGACCAGGAAGAGGCCGAGGCGGCGGCGGAAGCTGAGGAGCTGCGGCAGGAGGCGGAGGCTGAGGCGCGGCAGGCGGCCGAGTTGGAGGCGCGGTGGCGGCTGACCCGGGAGGAGAAGGTGGTGGAGGGGCTGGTTGCTGCGGATGCGGCCGCTGAAGGCTCCGGCGGGGAGGCGGGCCGCGAGGGGGCTGGAGCGGACGCCGCTGGCGCCACTGCAGGGGCTGTGCCCGCAGCGGACGGGACCGAGGAGCAAGAGGAGGACGAGGGTATTGTATAATTCAAGACGAGTGAATGCCGACGTGTCATAAGAGCTTGTGATTTCATGGGGCGTAGTCCTGATCGTGATCCAATCCGCATTTTGACCAATTCCTGCGTACTTGGACCCTGCTCACAGTTTGCTGCCCCACTTGTTCGGGTCTGCGTCGCTCCTAGCCGTCCAAGAGTAACGCCTTGGCATGAGCCTGCTGACGCGCTTGGCTTATCGAGGCGCCCGGGCGGGGGCACCCCGTGATGTTTGACCTGTCCTGCTCGAAGCACACTCCTCTGCTTGCGACCGCTGGCAAGTGGCGACAAGTTGACTTTGCGGTCCAAGTCAACGCCGTTGCCCCTTGCCTCATGATGCCCCTAGAGACCCACCATATGGATCGCTGATGACGCTCATGCACGTGCAAGGGTACTGGCGACAGGCCGGCTGGAGAGGCGACGAGCGCGGGGCACGTGGTGTCACCGACTCACCCGTCGGTAGCCAGGTGTCGCGTCACTCCCGTGCACGGCACGTTGTGGCGCCCACTTTGGAGCATGACCTGCAGGGGTTACACCACATCAATCCCATAGCACGTATCGTGTCCCCCGGGCAGCCTGCACACTGTATGATAAGATCACCTCTGAACCTGTCGTGCAGCAGCAACCTCTACAAAGCACAACCTCTCGAGACATATCGGATCAATCAAATTCTTGAGATACATATATCTACTGCATCACCCTCCCCGGCAAGCATGTGCGTGCACAGAAATCCCCCTGCACTGATGATTGCATGCATGGTATGCGACGCCGGTGATATCCATGCGACCTTGACCTGACAGTGATGCATATTACTAACGCCGATATCGCACGCTGTCGCACGGACGCAGTTGGCGCCTGCGCCGTGCTGTGGATCTGTGCTGTACCTGAGGCGACTCGCGTACGCCACCCCTTGCCGCATACGCAGACGCAATGGTGCTCTCACTGCCGGAGACAACAGATGAGCAGGTGCTTGCGAAGCGGGCCCGCGTGCCAGCCTTGCCCCCGCGCGCCGCTGAAGAGCACGCCGCGGTCGTGCGTGAGCCGCAACCGCCGCAACCGGGCCCCTGTGGTTGCACATGCAGCACTCCAACGAGCCCGTTGACCCGCATCCAGGCACGCGCGCCACACACGTTATCCCCTCCATTTTGCATCTGTTCTCAGGTGGCGCAGTTCCAGGCCGAGTTCCAGTCGGCCTTCAGCGGGGCCAGCCAGGAGGAGCTGGAGAGCGCAAAGTGCAGGTGCGCCCCCTTGCCTTCCGGGGGGCCGGCGGGGACGGGCCAAGGGGTGGCAGCGGGGATGGTTTTGGGCGGATTCGGACTGGGCACCAGGCGCCGCGGCACGTGCCAGACGGCGTGGCAAACGAAGCGGCGGCGTTTGCGTGCATAGGCTGTCGCGGGGCGCGGCCGCGGCCCTGCTGCTGAATCCCTGAAATCGCCCGCTAGCGCAGCCGCTGCACAGCCACTGGCACAACCCCAGCAGGCGCACTCGTGGCCAGCTTTCTTGCGGCTGCGTGTTCGAACTCCTCTCATCCCTTGGACACCCTCACCACCTCCAAACCCTCCCCCACACCCTGCGGCCGCCACTTGTTCGCAGGCTTATCTGGGCGCTCGTCCACCACAGCGGCAGCCGCAACCACCTGCAGCGCGGCCTAGATTTGGCCGAGGCGGCCCTGGAGAACGACAGGTGCACGCCCGACCAGGCGCGCGAGCTCAAATACCTTTCAGCAGGTGGGGTTTGGTGGGAGGAGGGCTCCTTGCTGCGACACAGATGGGGCGCTCTGGTTGTCGGTTGGCAGTCGCTGCGGCTGCGCCTTGGGGCAGACCTGCGGCGCCTGGGCTGGCTTAGGGACGGGGAGCTCGGTCGGGGCCGGGCGTGCGAGAGCCCGACCGCCTGGGGCTGAGAAGGGCGAAGGGGCGGGCGGCGGTGTTGGCGTCACAGCGCCACCTCGTCCCCCTCCCTCCCCTCTCCAGTGGCCCTCTACAACCTCAGCAGCTACATCAAGGCGCGCCGCGCCGCCAAGGCGCTCCTGGCGGAGCACCCAGATTTCAGGTTGGCCGCCGCCGCCGCGGGCCGCGGCGCCGCAGCTCGCAGTTAGACGCTGCCCGGGCAGCTCGGCGTCAGCGCCGCCCTCCTTGCATGCGCTGCACCACGGCTTCCGCCCTCACGCTCTGCGTCGCAACCTTGTCATTCACATTTGGGCGCTCACACATGTCCTCCCCCCCTTCCTCCGCACTGTCATTCGGCCCCTTGAAACACGCCGACCCGGGGCCCCTCAATTTCAAATCACTCGCGGCCCGCCCCGCAGGCAGGCGCAGGCGCTGGCGTCAGAGTGCGACGACCTGGTGCTGAGGGACGGCCTTGTGGGGGTCGGCGTGCTGGGGGCCGTGCTTGGGGTCGGCATTGGCCTGCTGGTCGGCGCCAGCCGGCGGTGACGCGCGGCCCGCCGGCTGCGCGCGGCACCCGCTCGGCGCGACGAGTGTATTTTGGCATGATGCCGCGCCGATGGTCGCGGCGTGCCGTACCTCCTGGTGACGCTTTTGGGGTGTGATCCTGCTTTTGCACTGCCTTTTTATGAGCGCTGCTGCGGCACGATGGGCTTTTCCTTTTCTTTTGCTGGACTAGACCGGCCGTTCAGCTGCACTGCGGCATGCTGGAACGGATGCTGTCCTCATGGCTCCTGCTGTGATCGCCGCGAAACTTGCTCGACCGGAATGCGGTTGAGCGTTGCTGGAGATGTGGGTGATGGGCCTTGTGAGGCAACCTCCAGTGCAGGGTGGGCGTGGCGAGGGTGCTCGTCTTTACCATATTTGTTACCAAGGGTGCTCATTGTCAGCTTTGTTACAGACCCGAAAATGCAGTTAACACACATGTGAAAGCCGGGGCCGAGCTCCATGTGCACAGGGTGGTTGAGGTGCTGAGTGAAAATGCGGGGACGGGTGGAAGCGTCGAGGTCACAAGCACGGAACAGGTCACAGGAGCGCCGCCGGTCGCAGGTCATATGCTCTGCAGTGCTGGCGTGTTACGCCCACAAGCCCCCAAAAACAAAACAAGAAAGTGCCGGGCGCCCACACAGGTCGTGCAGCGGCCCTGGACTGTGCCCGCTTTGCGCGCGCCCGTGCCATGGCGGCGCTCATCAAACGAGGCACGCGCGGGTGCCTGGCGGTGGCACCCATTCTCACAGCAGAGAGCGACCCCCCCAGCCCGCTGTTTGTCCAGGTCCCACACAGCCCTGGCCGCCGCCTGCAAGCCGCGCCAACGCGACAAGCCCCCCCGCACCCAAGGCGGCAGCCCGGCCCCGCTGGAAGCCCTCCCCCCGCTCTTGTCGGGTGGACCATCCATCAAGGCCGCCCGCACCCGTCTCTCGCAAAGCGGACCTCCATGCATGCGCCGTTGTGACGCCCTCCGCCGCCGCCGGGCTACAGCACGCGCTAGCCGCCGCGCGCTAGGCCGACACTGATGCGCGGCCGCCCGGCGCGCTGCCTGCACCTCTGCCGCCGCCGCCCCTTCTGCTTTTGCTTCTGCTGCTGCTGCCGCTGCTGGTTGCGTGCGGCTCAAGGCCAGGGCCCGACCTCGTGATCGTATATCTTTTGGTCCAGTATCTCGTTGGCCACGCGGACGCGGCCCCACAGCGTCACGTCGTCCTATTTTGGGGTGAGGAGGGCAGGGAGGGGTGTGCGCGGGTGTGGGTTGGTGCGGTTTGGTCTGGTGCGGTGTGGCGTATGCGAGCGCCTGCAGGTGGGAGGCAGCAGAGGGGCATTGCTTGAATGGTATGAATCGGCGTCAGACGCAAGACAGGGAGCGCCGCCCCAGCAGCCGCCGCCAAACGGAGGCCGACCGGCTCTCCCCCCACTCCCCGGCCCCCGTCCGGCGCCACCATGCGCGCTGCCTGGCCGCACCTGGCGGAAGTCGAACCCGCGGTTGAGGGCGACGCGGTTGGCAAACAGCAGTGCGAAGACGCCGCAGTCGCAGCTGTTCCGCTGCAGCTTGACTTTCGGGGTCAGCACGCGCCAGTGGGCGGTGTCCCACTTCTGGGGGGTGCAAGGGCGGCCGGGTTGTATTCATGCAAGGGCGAGGTGGCGGGTGGGCTTGGGGGACGGTGCTGGGGTGGGCCTGACCAAAAAGAGCCCGCTGCGAGGATCGAAACGGCGTGGCTGGGCGTCCGCCGGGCGCGAAGGGCTGCTCCTCGATGAGGGCTCCCCTCGTTTTGGTGGTTCTGGTACCGATGTGGACCAGGAAGCGAGCGGCCCTCCGGCGTGTGACCTCCGATGGTCGTACTCTTGCAAAAACACCCCTTAAGCTAACGGCCCACCCAAGACCTCCGGGCCCCTTGGGCCCACCAGGGCACTGCCTTACACACAGACGACCGCACGCACGACCGCACGCACGCACGCATGCACGCACGCATGCACTTCCACACAAACGCTTGCACGCACGCACACACAGAACACCCACGCGCTTACGCAGACGCACGCGCGCACACACACGCACACAGGCGCATGCGTGCGTGCGCCCGGCATGCCCACACTCACACTCACACACACACACACACACTCACACACGCACATAAAACCAGCGCTCTACCAGACCTGTTTGAGCTTGTCCCGGGCCTCGTCCGCCACCCAGCGCCGCAGGGCCATGAGGGCGCGCGCATTGCCGTAGTCCAGGGAGTCCAGGAACACGATGGCCTTTTTTGGGGGGGAGTGGGGTGACGTGACATGGCCCATGGCAGCGCTCAGGGGGCAGGGCGGGGGCCAGGAAACGTGTGGGGCGCCGCGCGCGCGGCGAGGGGGATCTGGCTGCTAACGCGGGCGAGGGCCTACTCGCAGGGCCGCGTTCCAGGTGACCGCGGCGTGCAGCGTGCGCACACACTGACTCCTGGCAGCCCTCTGCTCCGCTGCAAGCACCTCTGCTCTGCCAGGCGCGCGATCCCCGTGGGCGCTCATGCAGTCGTTGCCCCTCCTTGCCCCTCGCTCACTTTGAAACCAAAACGCCTGCCCGTACACATCAACACACAGATACACACATACATACACACAGCCAGGCACGCAGACTCACACTCGCACGTACAGACTTGACTTCAAATGTGCTCACGCTCGCACACACGCAAGGACACACGCAAGCACATACACACATACACACACACAGACACACACACACACACATCAAGTCACAAACGCGCACAAGGCGTGCACGAGCCCACCTTGCGCCGCAGGTCGACTACCGCGCAGGTCCAGTGACTCTGGTAGTGGACAGGGACGATGATGTAATCCAGCCCCAGCAGGCCCTCCTCAGCAGACGCCTGCCCCGCCGCGCGCAGCCTTGGCGTCTTCGTCCACCCTTGCACCTGCGCAGTTGCGGGCGGGCGTGCGTGTTTTTGTGCGCTGCGCTGTGTGCCTGTCCATGGGGGTGGTTGAGAACATGTGTACACATGTGCCGATGGCATCATAACTCGCGAGGGCGCGCACGGCTGCATACGAAATCGCACACTCACACGAATGTGCGCACGCACGTGGGCATGTTCACACCACACACACACACACACACACACACACACACATACACGCGCGCGCGCGCACACGCATGCGTGGATGCACATGCATGTACATGGCCACACACACAGTCTTGTTGATATTCTCGCTCACGTGCACCCTCCCCGCACCTCTGCATAGCAGTAAGTGCCTTGTTTTGGTGGAGGTTTCAGCAATTGCAGCAGCTTGGACATGAAGAACGTGTTGAAAAAGTGGCAGCGCGGCGCCCCCACGCCCGCCTCCCGAAGCACCGTGTCGCGCACCTGATGGGGTCATGGGAGGGGGGCCGAAGGGCATACGCGAGGTTCGGCGACCGTCGGGCAGAGCGGCGCAACGCTGTTGCTGCCTCTGACCCTGCAAGGCGTCTGTGGCCTGCGGTACCCCCGCCAGATGGATGCAGGCACATGACAATCGTGGGCCTGCAGCTGCTGCACGGCGCCGCAAGTGCTCATGGTGTGAGGACATTCACACACTCGTTCGCGCACACGCATGCACATGTGCGTGCACCCTGTATGCGCATCAACACATGCGCGCACACGCACGTGTGCATGCGTTTGCACACATCCTCACACTCACACGCCCCGCACGTGCGCGCAGATATACACGTGTGTTGTGTGCACATGCACAAACACATGCTCACACACGCAGCACATTTCAACACAAATGTGCACACGCGCACGCACACACACATACATCAGTCCACTACACACATCCGCATGCGCACAAAACAGTTGCTCTTGCTCCGGTCCCACCTGCAGCAGAATCATGTATGCATTGATGATCTCGTCATTCAGCCACTGCTTCTCTGCCAGGGTATTGAAGTGCTTGCGTATGAGCTCAGTCCCTTTGTTCGGTATAAGAAGCACCTGGGGTTGTTGCCAGGGGATAGGCACATCGGCACAGAGCAGGTGATGAAGGGAGAGAGGGGAGAGGCGGAGGGCAGGGAGACATTGTGTGTGTTTAACTGAGCCTGTGTGTGTATGGTATGTGTGTGTGTATGTGTCAAAGAGAGGGAGAGGGGCGGAGACAGCCACAGAGGAAGGGAGAGGGTGTGCATGCTTGTGGTTGTTTAGGCAAGCTTGACATTCAAGCGTGCAGGGGTAACGGAATGGAGCAAGTGGCCCCTTTCCAGATTTTGAACCGGCATATTTCTCCCCTATACACCGTTTCAGCACATACAGAAGAGATCTGCCAACACAACCTTGTTGCACATGCATCTGCAAGATTATTTGCATGCGCATCATTTTGTGGCAAAGTCTGGCCTGAAGCCAACTGATTCGGTAACCCCATGCGACCAAGGCGGCCAAGCGAGCGCACATACGCAGCCAGCAGCAGCCCAGGGCAGCTGCGCACCTCGGCTTGATCACCCAGCTTCGTGACCTGGCGGAACCGCCGCAGCTGCGCCTCTGTCGGCTGCCAGTCGCCCCGTGGTGCTGTGGGGCGGGGTTGGGGGCGGACGGGTCACCGCAGAGAAGGGCGGCGCAGCGGGCAAGCACACATGGATTCCGGGCATACAGGCGGCGTACAGGCGCAGCGAGACATGTTGCCTGCCGAGCTGCAAGATACTGCGCAGTCAACGGTTGCACTAAGGTGCCCTGGCGAGACGCAGCGGGGACAAGAGGGCACCAAAGGGTGAAGGTGGCTCCACCCACCTATGAGCTGGATGCCACCAAGCGGCGCCGGTGCCTCGCCCTCCTCTTCCTCCTCCTCCTCTTCAAACTCCTCCTGGCTCTCCTCCTGCTCACCCTCCTCTTCTTCGCTCTCCTCCTCTCTTTCAATCACCTCAACAGAGCTTTCCTCCTCTACTTCCACAATCTCGACTGAAGAGCTCTCCTCCTCTATTTCAACCACCTCAACAGAGGTCTCCTCTTCCTCCTCCTCCTCCTCCTCCTCCTCCGCTGCTGCCGCCGCTGCCGCCGCTGCCGCCGCTGCCGCCGCCGCCGCCGCTTGCCTGGCCATCTCCTCCGCCACCTCCCGCCGCCCCTCCGCAAGCCGCGCCCCGGGGTCCGCTGCTCGCCGCGCCTCCAGCGACCGCCTAAACTGCGAGATCTGCCGCGCAAACTGTTCGCGCCCCGCCCGCGGGTCCGCCGCGCTCGCCGCCGCCGCCGCGGCCTCCGCAGCGGCGTGGGCGAGGCCGCGGCCGAGCGACAGATCTGCGGCGGC